ATCTTTCCAGCCCCTATTGTTTATTTTTTAAGAGTCTTGATTTATTTACTAAATGGCTTTAAGTTGAAGGGTGAAATACATGTGATTTTCCCCCCTCTCAGTTCTCTGCCACCTTCTGTTGAATGTTACATATGCACTGTGTAATGAAGCCAGAGCCACCTGAAATGGAGCTACAAAGCTAATTACCGCACACCATGAAGTCCAGTTTAGTTTAGGTTTACTTAGACTGCACTTCACTCAGTCCGCCCTCTTAAGTCCCAGTTCTCTGATAAGGACACCTGTGTATGAACATGTATTTAAATATAGTCATGCTTCATTTCAGATTGCAGTACAATTTCAAAAATTATTTTATATTTTCTACAAATGGAAGATATTTAAATGTATTTGGAAGGTTTTTTCCTCTAGATTCTATAGTTTGCTAATGTGGATACTGTAAAATGTCACACTTGAAGAAATTTCAAAACCTGCTGTCTAATATAAATAGAGCTGACAAATTTTGATATTTCTTACTTTTCTTAATAGAAAAATGCTTTTAAAATGAAAATGACTGATCGTAAATATTTTAAGTAGGTGTGTTGCTGCGTTTTAAGTACTGATCTTATGTTGCTGAAATGCGTTCAATTCTAATACCATAGACGATTAAAATTACATATTTTCAAAGACTTAGCTTTTGAAAGGAAAACTTTTTACCTGAAATCATCTTTGCTATTGTATCACGTTTCTGGTGATTTTCGCTCCCATAGTGAAACTCTTCTCTGTCCTGCAATGTACTTGAGACTCTGAATTACATAATAATTACACTTGTGTTCTATAAACAGCTGAAGGGTTCTCTTGTGGTTAAAGGAAAATCATTTGAGTCTTTGTCAGTCGTGGACATCCTATGACTTACTCTGTTCTTGTGTGCCGTTTGAATTTGCCGAGAATCATTGGATGATATTAAATGTGATCTCGAAGGCTCCCTGGTAGGAGCTCCCACCCAGCTGCTAAGTGTTCTCTCAGAGCCTACTGCGCTGTCGCAGCCGTTGGTGTGGCCGGCTGCTGGATAGTGTGATTTCGTTTGCACAGGCTTTTCAAGGAGAGGCATAATTAGCAATGATAGGACTGCAAGTTACTAGGCAGGTTGGTTGTACCATCAACATTTATTAAAACGGCTTAATTGTATTCTTTGTTAAGTAATAGTGCAGCTAATTAAAGCCAGCCAGGTTAGGAATGAATGTTATGTAATTATACCCTAGTTCTAAAAATAAAATTATTACCCTGGAACCTGTGAAAAAGTCTGTGTAGCAGGAGTGTGACTCCAAAAATAAATGCTGCACCACTGGTTTAAAAATAAGTTCCTTTTGAGTTAAATATAAGATTGAAAAATGCACAAAGTAGTTGAGATTCAAAGTGGTGTTGGCAGAAGCAGCTGGTTGTCTTTGGGTTTTGGCTTTCCCCGGAACATGTAAAATAATAAGCCGCTCCTTTTTATTTGTCTGCGAATGACTGCAGCAAAATTCCAGACTTGTTTGTCTCTGGTGCAAATTATCTGACACAGTTCTTCACTTTGTGGCTTGGGAAAATCATTTATTTATTTATTTATTAATGTATTTATTTGCAGAAAAGCATTTCTGGCAGTGGGAATGCTGCGCTCAGTAAAGAACTAAGAGGAAGACTTTGTGTTCATGTGTCTTCTACCCCCTCATGGTGTTAGGATGCCATTTCACATAAATGATGAGAGTAGATGCTGTGGACATTTTTTATATTCTTGCTGGGTAACCTCCCACGGCCTACTGCCTTCTGTTTTCAAAGAATTGTTAACTGCCTTTGAAATGCAAATTAGGCTGTCAAGAACTAGAGGCTGGAGTGGACCCTAGAGAGGTGGTGATGTGGGAAGCATCTCCAGTAACACACGGTAGGGAAAGAAAGGCAGGGGCAGAGCCAGCGGTGGTGTCCTGCACTTTTAATCAATCCCAGCCCTCGGGAAGCAGAGGCAAGTGGATCTCTGAGTTCAAGTCCAGCCAGGACCATTAAATAGAGAAACCCTGTCTCGAAAAAACAACAACAACAAAATAACATCTACTGGGTTGTGATGACACACACCTTTAGTCCCAGCACTTGGGAGGCAGAGGCGGGCAGATCTCTGAGTTCAAGGCCAGTCTGATCTACAGAGCAAGTGCTAGGACAGGCTCCAAAGCTACACAGAGAAACCCTGTCTCAAAAACAAAACCAAAAAAAAAAAAAAGGCAGAGGCAGATTGTAGACCTGGTTGGGTTTACAAATTGTGTTAGCTTTTTTCCCTGGAAACCATGGGGAGGATGCTTTCTATTGAAAATAAATCATGCGCTTAGAGGTAAGGTAGATTGCAAGGTTTCAGATTTGGAGAAGAAAGCAGGAGCTAGGGTGGTAGCCATGGTCTTCTGCCTGGTTCACTGTCTTGGGAGTGTACCTTGAATTTGGATTGTGACAGATAGCAACCGCAAGAGATTGGGAAGCAAAGGGTCTTACAGTGGTCTTTAGCATGCTGGCTTTGGAACCTACTTGAGATTCTTCCCACACAGAAGACATGCTTGGCATGCTTGTAGATTGTACACTGCCCCTGAGTGATTTTACCTGGAGAACTTGGCACTAGAAGTGGACTGTGTCTATAAATTACATCGTATGTCACGTCCGACCTCTGTACTTTCAGAATGAAAGCATTCTTAGAAGAATCCAATGCTAGGCTAAGCGTGGTGGGCAATTACATCATCACTGCACTCCGAAGGCTGGGGCAGGGGACAACATGGTACATGCTTAAATAGGAATAGTTGCCAAGTGATGACAGCGTCTTAGGAAAGATGTTGGAGAATGTGGGATACACACACATCAGACAGCAAACACATCCCTTTATCCAGAAGCTTCCTATACATTCAAAGTCCTTGACATTGTGATGTGAGTGGTGATGAGAAAGACCAGGAAGATGCCTCGCCAAAACGCACATTGTCACGCCTCTGCATGGACCCATGCAACACATTGAACACTCCCAGGACTGTGAAGCAGAGTCAGGTACTGGTCACTGTGCAGCTGTGAGAATTAGGATATTTCCCTAATGTCAAGGCAGTTAGTGTGTCTTAGGATGGCCATTTGCCAGTGGGCATCTCAAAGGAGTGGCCGTTCAATTCTGAACGAAAGACCTAATTTACCTGTAGCACTGCCATGGTTTCTCAGAATGAATAGAGCCCCATCCCTTTTTCAGAACCTTGCCTGTATTTATTGTTATAGTTTACCCAAGACAGTCTTCGTAGCCATCCTTGGGTTTGAGTAGCTGTGATTGTGTTTTTTCTGAAGTAACCTGTGTTTGCTAACCAGTTCCTTTTTTTTTTAAAGTTGACTCTTGAAAAAAAAATTTTTTTGACTCTTTTGATGATGGGCTCATTTTCTTTTAAAAATATTTATTTATTTATTTATTTATTAAAGATTTCCACCTCCCCTCCTCCCATTTCTCTTTCACTCCCTTTACTCCCCCTCCCCCTCCCTCTCCAGTCCTAAGAACAGTCAGAGTTCCCTGCCCTGTGGGAAGTCCAAGGTCCTCCCCCCTCCATCCAGATAGGATGGTTAAGTGATGCATACACCTGCAACCCGGAAAATGAGCCCACACCTTCCTAGACCTCTAACATCCATTTTGCCCGTCTTCCTGAAGCCTTACAGTCGTGTGTGTGGAGAAGCCCAGAGTGAATGGAAACTGCTACCAGAGCCACCTAGTCCTCTTTGTCCCCATAACCCAGACCAGAGCAGGATGCTCCTGAGCGCACTGCGTCTCCGAGGCCGTCTCTGGCATTAGCAGAGGCGTAGGATCCAATCCACCGAGATACGAAGCGATTGTTGCCAGTGTTTTGTACTCGAATTAACCCCAAAACTCAGACTTCACTTGTTAGGGAATTACATGCAGAGAACAAAGATACACGCTTCAGCTTCTTTACACTCGCTATCAAATTGGATTCTTCCCCTGTTTTCACGTCATTAAAAAAAAATGGATTGACATTAATAAAAATTGGGATCTCTGACTTCCTATCACAGCGTCTTGGCATTGCAGCGTTTGCTTGGAGATCTCTTGGGCTGATTGAGGTGCTTGGCTTCAGGCAGACTCCTGGGCCACTTGTCTCTGATACCAGCCCAGCCTGTCACTTAAATGCCTTGCTGTCGGTAGCAATACTTAAAGCTTTTGATTCAGCCAAGGAGAGGAAGTGCTCTTTTTTTTTTTTTAAATGACATAATCTTAGTCCCTTTTTGTTTTTCATTTACTGGGAAGTCACTTTTTAGCAAGACTTAGATTCCACATTACTGATGGTTTGCTTAGCAGTTTGTTGTTGAGCTAAATGAAGGGTAGAGGACAGTCTGGGGCTGCCATGTTTAAATTTCTGTAGAGCAGGAACTCTGTCTTTTAGAGTAAAAGTTGACTTTGTTTACTCTACTGAAATTACCATAGGAGAACTTCCTGTGTGTGTGGCAGGGAAAATGATTCTGTGACCATGAAATGGCTACATCAGTCATCCTATACGGATTGTGTGTAATCCCCTGATCTGACCCAGCAGGTCAGTCTGCATTAACTCTGTTGGTATATAGCACAAGAATAGCTCTGTCCACGCCAATCCCTGGAAAGCCTAGGAGCAGACGGCCTCTCGCTCAGCCCACCTAACTGCACAAGCACCCGTGACACTGTTCTTTCTACCTCCCTCCCTCCTGATAGTCCAGTGGCTCAGAAGTGACAGACATGTTCGTTCACAAACACCACACAGGTTTTATTTTTCTACCTCCGTTGGCAAGGCATTTGGTTTCCACATATTGGCAACTTAAGAATGTTCCTTTAGCCACACTCTAAGAGGTGGGTGTTTTACTCTGAGAGAAAAACGGGTTTTGATGACAAGTCCAAGAAAGCATTTTCGTTTGATGCTCAGAGCCTTTGACTCAGCCAAGGAGAGGAGATGCTTTGTGCTTTTATTTTTTGTAATGATACAATCGCAACTTTTTGTTTTAGCTGGCAGTCATTTTAAAGCAAGTCTTCTCGATTACACGTTACTGAGAATTTTTTGAGGGAGACTTTTAAAACAAAATAGGATCTGCAGTCACGATGGTTTATTTAGCAGGCGAAGTATCCATTCCATGCAACAGATACTGCAGGGAGCAGAAACGGAGAACAGGCCGGTCAGACAGGACAGCCTTGTAGTCAGTCACCTGTTTAAGGTTTTCATTAGAGCCGTCTAACAACTGGGTCTTATGTAGAGACCAGCCGAGGAAGAAGAATCAAGAGCCCACAGTTTCCAGCTGGTGACAGGCTAGCAGAGGTCCATTAGGAGTTAGAACTAACTTGTTCGGTGTCCTTCTCGTCTTCGGCTAAGAATTTAAGGTGTCTCGAGTTCTGTGTCCTGGTCAAGTATAGAATTGAGAACACAGATGCCCGATCTGGACCCAGTCACTGATTGTGTCCTGTGACCTCAAGCCAAGGCTCTTCGTCTTTGTGGCATTTAATAAATAAAACGTAGCAATCTACATATTTTAATCTGGCCTGTCAGGGATCCCAAAATAACCGTAAATGTTGAATTTATCCTAATTTACCCACTGCTTAAACTCAGCAGGATCCATTCAATAATTATTACTGACAGCGCAATTAGCAGGGTATTGGAGAAACAGAAGTCACAACTGAACCTTCTAGAATTCAAAAGAACAAGTTGACGGCGTTGGAATGTTAGGCTTTCTGTCATATTTTAGGTCGAAAGCTTAGGAAAACACACACGCATGCACGCATGCGCACAGCTATGGCAGGAAAAGTAAGCCCGGGCCTGCCCAGGATGCCAGAGTCAGGTGAACTCAAGTGAACTGCAACATTTTTCTACCACTGCTGTGACTTTGTACAAATAAACTAAGGTCTGGTTCTGGCAAATTCTGATAAAAACGAGATAAGGAAAATTGCACTGGAAAGCGTGCACAACACGGGAACTCAGCCTTGAATTTGTGAGCTTTTGGTGCCTACAGGTCCTAAAGGGGTTTTCACTGTGGGGAGGGACGCACTCAACGTCAGAGCCCTGGATTTACAGATGTTCCTGCTCCTGCCCTGTTTGCTCTGTGTTTACGTTACTAAGGAATCCTCTGGCAGTCACTGTGAAGCAACCTACTGTTTTCTGAACCTCTGGTGTCAGAGGAGAGGGAGGTTGGGAAGAGCCTCTGAGCGTTAGCATGGCCATGTCCTCAGGGTTGACCTGGCCGGCCGCTGAGATTAGAGCATCGCAGGAGGCCTTCCCTTCAGCTTCCTCACCATGGCCCTTCTGTAGGGTTTCAGTTTAACTGAACCGCGTAGGAAAAGGGCTGTCCCCGAGTAAATAATGCCCCTCTTTTGTCTTTGAAGCTGCTTATTTCTACCCAACCTCATTCCATGAATTACATAAACGAAACCTAGGTGGCGTAGGGTGTAGATGGCACGTCCCTGTAATCCCAGGAGCCCACAGGCTGAATGGGAGGATGCGAGTTCAGAGCCAGCCAGGGCTTCCGGTAGGGACTCTAAAACTGAGGCATTTGTGATTTATTGTTACGTGTTACCCAGACACGTGATACCTTCTAGTGCCTTCTGTCTGAGAGACGCTTTGTGAGCAAACCTTTTTTACTGATTTGGGCCAAATTCAGGCCTTTTGTTTTAATGAGAATAATAAACTTCCACGATTAGGTACCCTTTAGTCGGTTTTGTTAAGGCGAGCTGGCGTCCCTCCTGTTTACCACAGAATTGCTGTATATTCTCATTGCTTTCTCATTTAATTTCAATTTGTATTTATCTGAACTGAAACATACTTGAGGATCACCTGTCAGTGAACCTCAAATAGGCTAATTATATTGTGAGGCAAGCCTGTCCCAAGCCTTATAAGAACGTGCCTTTCGGCCCTTCTTTTAGTCAAGGCACAGAAATTATCTTCAAAGATGCTTGCTCTAAATTTGGGATCTTAAAAGTCAAGGGCTTGCAGAACACCTTCCTCAAGAGTTCAAGGCCCTGAGTTCAGGCCCCAGCACTGAGGACAAGCAAGCCCACCCCAGGACAAAGGCATGTAGTTAATGTGTACAGTAACTAAGACACATGAGGACTTTTACTACTTAGAAAAGGTAGCCATTAAGGACGTGCGTAAGACAATATTGCTATGTACACCAGAATCTGGGGTTAAAAGGAAATACACCATAGAGTCTTATGTGACAGTGCCGTAAGGGGACAAACAGGCACATAGTGGATTAGTGTGTTTCCAGTGGGGCACCAGTGACATCTCATTGAGAAATGGATGGGGGGCTGGTACTCAGAGCCCACGCCCTGTGACTGAGGAGCAGACTGTGTTCAGGTTGTAGGGAAACACATCTCCCCATGGGTCCTGGTACACGCGGTGCAGGCAGGCAGGAGTCTGAATGGCTTCAGTGTGAGAACAGAGCCGCCCAACACAAGCAGGAGCGGGAACAAGGGCCTTGTGAGTGAGACAGCTTTGTTGTGTTGAAATTGAGAGGGAAAAACGGATTAGCAAGACTGAAGAACCTTGAGTGCCGGGCTAATGCTTCTGGGCTCCAGGCAGTGGTAACAGCGAATGTTAGATGCTTAGCAGGAGAGTGTTCATTTAGTTAGTACTAAGGGCCACTTTAGGATACACGAGGGACTCAGGTCACAGGAAAGAAAATGAGGCTTCTGCTCATATGGAGTTTATATGTAATGGAACAAAGATGATTAAAAAAAAGTTGGGGGTCAGGTAATAATAGTTCCCCTGGGAAGGAAAATGAAGGGGGGGGGTGAGGAGTGAAGGGAAGACAGGCTGAGTCCTCAGGAGGTGACCTGGGTATTGCAAAAGGGTCTCCTCACTGTGGGAAACGTTCCTGGGAGAAGTGGAGGCTTTGACTGCATAATGAGCAAAAACTTCCTGGTGGGGCAAAGCCGTCAGGTAGGAGTTCATAGAGAATGGCATGCAGCTGGCATGCAGCGTCACCAGGGGATGGAACCTTTGAGTCCCGCATGCCCTGGCAGAGTGGAAGTTGGTAGGTAAGGTGGAGGTGACGAATGCACTGCCGTTCTGGTGTCCTGCGGTAGGAGTTAGCGGGAAGAGGTAGGCCAGGCCGTTGCTGTCCTCCTGAGGTAAGGCTGTGGCCTAGGTAGGCCGAGAGCAGCGGTGTTAGAGGGGTAATCTGGGTACGGATGGTAAGCACAGACTTGGGGAGTGTGTGGCAGACGCTCTCAGTTCCCCCGGGTAAAGGAGCCTCCCCCACTTCAGCAGGGGCACTTGGGTGAAAGGGGCTGGTGCTGGCTACCCTCTTTAGCTTCAGTCAGCCCTCCCTGTGGAGCATCAACTCTCAGTTGTGGACCATCAGCATCAGGGATTTAGAATGAACAAGACCTGAATCTGTGTCATGCTGGGCTAGGAGATCCTGGAGGAGAGGAAAGCAGCACAAACCAAGATCTATTCGGACGTGAAGGTGACATGCCTGTTTTATATCTTGGCGCTGGTCAGTCAGCAGGCGGACCCAGGACTCAGGCCTGACTCTGATTTTGAATGTGAAATGTCAGCTGGACAGTCAGGTGGAGTCAATGAGTTAGAAATTAGGTATAATTTATAATGAATGATAGAGTTAGAATTGGGACTTTTGAGCTTAAAGGTCTAGATGGGGAAGTCATTCTGACTAGAAGAACCTGTGAACGCATCTGAGGGAGACAGTGCTATAGACAGGATAGTGAGGGCCTCTAAAGGACGACAAGGCCGTGGAGAGTGGGCATAGCAGTCAAGAGAAGGGCGTTCAGGGCGCTGCAGTGTCGTGAGAGAGGGAAGGCACGGGAACTTGGGGAATCCTGGTAACAGAATGTGAGGGTGATTCTCAGGGGAGTCAAAAACGTATTCAGAAAAGACTGACTGAAAGGGAAAAACTGTAGGGCCAAATACCGAGTGAAGGGTTTTTGTGTGTATGATGGCGGACATAAGGGAGCCGGCGCAGGAGGGAAATAAAGACGCTAGGAGCAAAGACCCTAGCAGCAGAGCCAGAAAACTGCCTGCGTGGGCCCGTGAAGAAACACTCAGTTAACAGTACTGTGGTCTGAGGCAGGAACTGAAGGGAAGAGAAGTTGGTGTTTTGAGTAAGACTGAGGGAGCTGTGGAGATGGCCTTGATATGGCCAATGGAGTCATTCCTGTCTGCTGTTTCAGGGTCGTCGGTGGGGTTCTTCACCCTGGCCTTTGCCTGCTGAAAGTACAAAAGAAGCTAATGAAAGAGAAACTGAGTGGGTGCAGACAGTGGGAAACAGTAGTCTTAAGAATTGTTCAGCTTGCAGCAGAGGGGAGCTGGGGATGGAGCTGGTCCTGGGCTGGAGAGATGGCTCCTGCAGAGGACCCTTGGTTCAGGGCATCTTGTGGTGTGACTCAACAACGGTCTCCAACTCGTTCCAATGACTTACGCCTTCTTCTGAACGTGACAAGCACCGCGTTCATGAGTGGTGACTCATAACTCAGCAGAACCATCAGTTACCAAGAGACTAATGGGACCCGTTTTCTACCACTTTTCCTGGAAGCCAAACAAATACCCAGGAGGAGTAATCGTTACATACTTTCAGAATCTTCATGGGGAAAGCCCCTCCCCCCACTGGCTCCGGAGCAGCAGTGCCTGGTGGCAGAGGGGGAGCTTGTGGGCTGATGCAGTAGGCATGGAGGACTTTGGGGGTGGGAGCTAGTAAGCGGCGATGTGTCACTCTCGTAGCTGGACAGGGTCCTACACCTCTGGACTCTGCAGAGTCCCATACGCCCATGAATCTCCAACAAGGGAATTTAATGATTTAAGAAATATCCAGCCATCTGGCCTTTGTTTTCATGAAGAATGTTTGGGCTAGTTTTTAGGGTCCACTTTAAATACTAAGTTACATGACTTCAGCAATGTTCAGCAGTCGGCTTTCAAGTTCCCCAGGCTGTCGAGTGAAGGCAACGTCAGGTTTCACGTCTGGAGGGAAACAGTTCCAGGGTTGTTTGTGTCTTTGTTTGCGGGGAACTGGCCTGCTATGTGTCCCAGATAGACTAATGTGTCTACCACTGAGACCTGTTCAGTTGAGTCAGCAGAATGCAGGCTGTTGCTACAGGGTGTAAACGTGGCAGAGTATGATCAGGGTGTAAACATGACAGAGTGTGATCAAGGTATAAAAACATGGCAGTGTATGATCAGGTGTAAACGTGGCAGAGT